GTATCAAAACTGTGGATGCCACTGTAGGCCTATGTTGTGTTACTGGGGACTTAGGCGAAGTGACGGACCATGACTGGGTAACCCAGGGCCCAGGAGGAGGTAGGGACCTCTACATCGACCTTGGAGGGTGAAAGACATCGTCACAGTCGTGGGGCGAGGCCCTGGAACAAGGGCCAAGGAATAAGTACGGAGAAGTCTGTGTTAACAATCAACCAATTGGGGCCTAGAAAAGTATAGGGAATAAGCAACATTTTTGGAACAAATACAAGAGAGGTTTTGGATGATGGTGAATTTTATGACAGAACAAAATTTGTTTATTTAATTTATTTTACTCAACTCTAAAACAGTTAGATAATTCTACGACGTCAAACTAAGGAATGGGTATTTAATGGCAAATTTGAATGTGGAATTCAATTTGTTTAATTCTGCGTAATCGAAATGTTGCTTGTGCGGTAACTAGTTTCGACTTGGTATCTAGCTTTCAGGAGTCGAAGGATGTCATAATCGCTTCATAAGAAGGGTGTTCCTTCACCTACAGTACATTTAACACGTAAACAGACACACACGAACGTGAACATTAAACACAACCGAATGGATGTAGAGTCAAGACTCTATAGGTAATGAGAATTGATAAGAAGGGGCCTTTTTACTGACTAAGACCATCTCGTTTAGCCTGGACCATTCATTAAAAGACCAAATATTGATATAAGGATCTTCTAGAGTTTCTCTAAATCAAATTTAAAGATTCTTGTTCCTTAGTGGTCACTCTTTAGCTATCCAACTTACTGAATTGATTATTGGGAAATAATTATGTATGTTGCAAAAACATAACCAATACTGTCCTTGTTATTTTTCCCAGAAAGGGGTCGCCCCCACGAAAACCAGGAGGAAGTCAGAAATGTAGAGCAAGGTTGAAATCTGCGAGGAAACATTAATATTCACAGTTCTGCAAAACGAGTTTCAAGGTATGCGATTAGGCTTTGGGTTCTTCCTAAATAAAAATTGATTGTCCAATGACACATCATCTAAATAACAGGAATCGAATGAGTACTTCACCAATATTTTTTTTAAATGTTTATTTCATGAGGACTTTCGCCAGCTATGATCAGACACATCACAAACCTGAGGGTTATGTTTTTCAATACTGTAAGAAATATTGTTTTCAAGTACTCACATGTAACATATTACTGGACTATCTCAGATGTACTGTAGTGTCATCGACTGTGGATAGAATGTGACACTCCCATTGAAGTAGTAGAAGGGTTTTGAATGAAAACGAAAACGTACATTGCTGAAAAAAAACTAACGCCCCGTTCACACTATACGGTTTCCGCCGTCCGGTTGAAAACCGTACGTCGTGTTTAAGTTTCTTTCACATTACACGGTTTCTTACTGTACTGCAAGATAAATTTGTTTACAAAATCACAAAAAACAAACAATGTCCAATTGACAGGTCAGATTGTAAACAATAAACATTCGAACAGCTGATCTATTTGAACTGGCCGGTGGGCTCCCGTTCGATTAAAAATCGTGCAGTATATGAAAGCACTACTGACGCACTGCCACGGCGTTACAACCGTCAGGTTCAGTATTGGACGGGTGCAAGACGGTTTTATGCCGTCACAGTAACAGTGTAGTGTGAAAGCTCACATACACTTCTTTACTACTAACAAAAAACTACCCATATGGTTTTTAGCGTAACTGCGAAAACCGTATAGTGTGAAAGGAGTTAAAGACAAAATATAACTACAGTACATCCAAAATATATCCAATATATCCTAAATTCAATGTCCACAATTAGCCTAGATGACTACTTGTTTACTATAGATATCCCAGAAACAAAAGAACTCTGTGCCATTTCGAGCCGCCACACCTACCGGCGCGAACCACGTGATCTTTTCGTTTCTGCTCAAGTTGTTTTGTTCTTGGGATGTCTATAGCCTCTATGCAAGTTTTTCCCATTACTGTGCTTGGCCTAGAGGTCGCGGCATTATCACCTCGATAAAATTCATTGGTTATTAGCGATGATTGAACCCGGGACTTAGTGGATCGAAGTCCCGCACTCTACCACTCCCCCATAACACCCATGTACAACAGTCTAGGCCAATACCGTTGACATCTAATGGACACGGTAAAGGAGACGTGGAGAGTGGTGACTGGTGACCCGTTTAACAGAAGACTATGGAACGTCTGTCCTCGCTAGGTGCCGTAAAATCGACAAATGGGCTAACGGTGGCCTGAAGGTCCTTGCACCGTAAAGGTCGGGTGTCTTGGAAATGTCCTGTTAACCATTTATCGACATTAATCCATTAGGTCATAACTACTCATAAGAACCAAGACTCATGAAAGCAAAACGGGTGAGAGAGATGTGCACTAGCTTCTCCGTAAGTTGATGTAAGAAAATGTAAGAAAAATCCCCTTTGCAATGCATCGGTACGAGTTGAGAAAGTGATAAATTTTGTATACTATTCTATTTATTTGTTACTGTTCGGAGAATCTATCCAGCTTATGAAATCTGTAAGTGCGATTTTGATGCAAATGAAATACGCGTTGAAATTTCTTCTACATGGGGTTTTGTATAATATGAGGCTCCCTGAGCATTACAATGTAGTTAAACTAGAAAAATGTAGTTAAATTCGGTTCTGAATCACCTCGACCCCGAGTCTTTTAGGCCAGAAGGTCCGCTCTATCACTATATCAGTTGTACGCCATAAACAACATTTTAACAAGATGCAACCGTCATTCTTGAAAAGTCTTACGAAAATTCAATCACGTCCATGACACTTTTTCCACTAATACAATTAATTACGATTATTTATAACCACAAAGTTAAAAATAACTATTGCAAATACATCTATTGGGTAAAGGAAACACATTAATCACAACCTACCTTGATTGGTTGCCAATCAAGATTCGCAGCGCGTAGAGCTTAAATTCTAGAAAAACGCGAGCAAAAAGCAGTCGAATTGAAACCTCGCAAGGCTGAGACGAGGACAGGTCTAGTAAAACTCGATCGATTTGTACCGACCATATCGCCTTTTCTGGCCCATTGTGTAATTGTTTGTAGAACCGTTTGTCTTCCAATACCAGCTACTGTCTTATCTATCGACCGTTTTGAAACGTGGAGGTACTGTAATGTTAGGTAAACTACGATTAACCCAAATACCCTCGCCGCAGCAAACCTGCAGACTACGCGAATTGCACGATTGGATTTTTGCTAAAATATTTCCATAAACAAGTCATTTAGATAACTTTGGATGAGTAGGTGTGATGCTACTGGGATTTAACCTCCGAACTTTATACATCTCAGTCTACATCAAAGCTTCAATATACGAGTACAAAATCGTTTGCTTTTTAGTTCTACACGATGGTTTCAATGAGAATTGTGCATTTCCATGTTACGGGGTAAAATTAAAAAAAATGTAAACTCCAAACATCCAGTTTCCATCTCCTGATCTTGTTTTATTTAATCAAAACCGGACCAAAATTACTCGGCGTGTTCAAGGACGTGTATATAAATTGAACGAATAGCGTTTTTGACCTATGGCAATATCACATTGAACAAATAAATCGGTCCCGGATCTAGGTCTTTCCATATGTCACCAACGGTAATACCTTCTTTCCTATAGGGTAATTCACTGAGGTTAAAATAATAATACAAAATCATCCATTGGATATAGCAACAGCAACGGTAAAAACCCCCTTGGAAATGTTGGACCACTTGCAATTCAAAGAAAAATTGAGATTACTATAGGCTGCTATAATACTGAAATTTATGAATTTACTGAAATAATGTGAATTCAGTTGACTTAAATACTGCAATGATGAAATTGTTGTGCATTGCACAGTAAAAGAATCTCGAAACATGCAGTTAAAGAAATTAAAAACCACTCTCAAGATACAGGTAATTATCACAAAACGCGTACCAAAACAGACAATTAAAGTAATGTATCACAGAAGAAGTAATTTCCAGATCCCTAGAATCAGCTGGAGTAGATGAGAGAGCAGAAAATGTGCATTTATTAAATTCATACTCTAAGAAAATTAGTTTAGATTAATAAAATTGCTATTGAACCGTTAATGCGTCCCCATCCTTATCAACATCTAAACAAATTGTAATTAAGGAAATAGTAACAGTAAACGGTTAGTATACTATTGAAAATCTCAAAATGCCCCAATTGAACAAAATCCCTCATTCGTTCTTCGACTGCATTTTTATAAATACAATCCACTGGGTTGCGGGGGGAGCAAGCTGGTACAGTGGTAGAGCGTGAGACTTAGGTCCCCGTGGTACCGGGTTCAAATCCCGCCAATCACCAATGGATGTTTATATAAATGATAATTCCGAGACCCCGTGTTATACCTGAAGTAATGAGGACAAATTCCGGGCTGGAATGTAGATGAACCGGGCGCGATATTATCATGGTACCTATAACCCAGGCGATTGGTGGAACTTACAACCAGTCCTTTAGGACATAACTGCGATCTAACCTCTACGTTAGCATAATACTTTAATATCTCAAATTGGTTCCTAAATCAGCCTCCTAACTACTTAAGAGAAATTCAAATCTCTATTACTTTCGAAATCAGTTTTACTTCCACACAATTGAGTCGCATACTCCCCAAATATGACATGTTGATTTGAAATTGCAGGAAATTAAAATAGGAAATAAAAATGTTTGGTATGTTCCGAGCATTGATTTTCCAAGGGTACCGAAAGTCAACGATGGTTAGGGTTTACTTACACTACTCCAAAGAATACCCAAAAAGTCGTCCCTTCTAAAAGTGGTCTAGAATTTGTATCCCTCGGTGAGTGACGCACAGTTTATAAAGTATAATAATGGATTTATGAACAAGAATAATATATGTATATTTTCGTAAGTTTCGGTGTAACGAGCGTCGGTCCTGTGAGCCTATTATGAGTCACCCGCTCTACCGAGATGTTTAGATGCCGCTCTCGTTCGCTCTGACACACTTACGACAAGTTTGGAGTTGCACATTTTTTATCCACTATAAAAGCTTTGGTCTTCAAGTGCCAGAGTAGTTTTGTGTCCAGTGACAGTACCCAGCCTACAACATGCAGTTCACGGTGAGTTTTGTCAATGTGCACAGTAAGAGTAGTAATTTTTTTTTGTAATTATTGGCGAGTTCTAAAAACATAAATTTTACTTTGTATTAGTGTAGGTTGTTTTCGATGAGTCACACAAAATTTAAAGTGAATCTAGTGTTTTTGAAGTATTGTAGTTTGTTTATCAATTCAATTTAATTCCATTCTATGATAAAGCGACGCAGTCTTTGCTAGGAGAATGATGGGTCAGTGTTGATAGGTTTGAAATTATCAGTGTAGCTTTGTTACTGAATAAGATCAGCTGTTACTTTAGTCAGGATAATTTATTCCGGAGATCAAGATCAGCTGGCCTTAGTTTCTATAGTAATACCAGAAACAAAAGAACCCTCGGCCGTTTCGAGCCGCGCAGGTTTCAATGGTACGGCCCACCTACCTGCGCGAACCACGTGATCTTTTCGTTTCTGCGCAGGTTGTTTTGTTCGTGGTATATCTATAAACTATAAAAGGACTATACTGATAGTTTTAGGGTCGAACCGGTGACCGTTTGATTACTAGGCAAGCTCTACAGCCACTCAGCTACCTAGCTTATTTTATGGGTCTATCAGATTAGTATTACCACCAAAGATTACATATGCTAATATGTAATCTTTGGTATTACTAAGTTTTATGGGTCTATCAGTAGATTTCTAAGTTGTGTGTGTCTATCAGTATATTGCTAAGTTTACACTTTAAATATTTTCATCTTTGTATAGCTGTACCCTCTTGTTACCTAATTAATACCTTGTACGTTTTTTGGCTTTAGTTTTATTTTATTGTTTGTATTTGATAGTTTGTTTTGTCTGCAGTATTTTATGTATCATCCACTTTCTTCTCCCTCCTGTTTTGATTGTTGTATAATATTTTTCATAACTAATATATTTATTTGTCATTTTAAATCAATATTATTATAGCTTTGTGCCTATCGCTGCATGATCTTTGTGTTTGTGTTGCATTCATCATTACATTCATGTTATGTCCTGTTAATTTACTTGTAGTAATTTAATTCAAAGATGGGTTTTATGTCAGAATAAACAGGGTAAGATTGTTTTACCATACTAACTGACTACACACGTGCATCTTTTTTGTACTAGGCGCCAACTTAAATTCATATTTATTAATTTTTTTTTACTTTAGTAAGTAAATTTTTTTTATTAAGTTCCTCTTAATTATATGTTTTGCATTTGTGTACTTTGTGTTACATAAAACAGCATACATGTGTTATAAAGTACAACAGTTAAAATTTACAAGTGGATTTTATGGTGTATTGAGAAAATTAGAAACGAATCCTAGTTTCTAATATGTAAATTTAACTAAATAAACTAAATATGTTAACTTCAATTTTTAATAATTTTTGCTAATCAACCAACTTTGAGTCTTTTTTGCCGGAGTGAAATAAAAAAGATTAATTATTGTAAAACACTAAAACATGTGTCCCTGTATTCAAATAGTAAGGCACACGTTACAATACGGTAAAAATAATAAAACTAATAGCCTACTTAATCGGAGAACATCTTCAGATTTTGCATTAGAACTTCAGTATTTAAATTAGTTTTGTGTATTAAAAAAGTGCAATGTTTTAAGTCACGGTTTGGTTAGGAGATGGGCAGGTACAGTGTATTAACTTCTTTAAACTACAGCTTTTGTCATGTTTTTTGTACGAAATTTCTGTCCCAGATATTGTCAGTGGCGCTTCTCGCTGCCCTCGCCTCCTCCGCGTCCATCCCCGAGTCCTCGGACACCGCCCCAGCGGCCAAGCAGAAGAGAGGACTCTTCGGCAGCTACTACGCCCCTTCAGCAGGTGAGAGTCTTCACAGAGGACCATTGTATCACTGACGTAGTTTTAAACCGGTGTGTTGCTTTATTATACAGCAAAGAAATGGATAAAATTAAATTGAATAACCTTTTTGAAATATGTTTTTAAATTCATGTGAGCTCTGTAAAGATTGCATCAACCCTCATCGAACTATTTACATGTGATGAGCTTTGTATTGTTATCAGTGTTAAGTAAACCTCTGCATCTGCCTACTAGGACAGGAAGTGTTTTTTTTTATTTTTTTTTAACAGGTTAACAAAGCGTGGCATCAAATTACAAAGTTCCTATATCCTATAATAATAACTTGAAATATTCTCTTGAATACTTTTTGTAAAGAAATTATTGGAACAGTAAACATTTTCAGAAATACCAGACAGTTTCAAAACAGAAATACATAATTATAGCAAATCCAAGTATTTGATGTGTATAAATTAGGTTTCTGGAATTGAATCGAATCCATTCTATCTTATAAATATTTTAAGAGCGTTTCTCTAACACAAATTAACTAAACCTATGAAATAAACCGACTAGTTACAGTAAAAAATTAAAAATACAAAATATGCAACATCATCCAAAATAAAATGATAAATTTATGTAAATAGATATTCTGTTTAATAATACTTTTGAGTTGAGAGATGATGTGTTAAGTTGAAATGATCTGTATACGTGAAATTATCTTATTGGTAGGAATTTATTTCACTATATTCTAGGAAGGAAGTACAAAAAACTATTTTGAAAGCTAAAAAGACTCATTAAATTTGATTCTAAGGCAAGCAATCATAGAATGCTCTAACAAATTTTCAATTTGTGAGTCGGTGGCTCAGTTGGTAGCGTCGCGGACTTCGGGCCCAAGGCAGCAGTGTCGTGGGTTCGGATCCTGGTCACTGCCACAAACTTTTATCAGTACAGTTCACCTTTGTACTGTACCGGCTCACCCCTTGCTTTGCTGGATACGTTCCACGCACAGATCTGTAGTCTATGTGGACGGGAAAATGCAAGGTAAAAGAGGCCGCCAACCTCTTTTTTAAAAAAAAAAAAAAAAAAAAAAAAAAAAAAAAAAAAATTTTCAATTTAAGTTTTTAATTCAAAATTAAGTTCCATCAAGAAATGTCTATAAAGTAAGAGGTCTAGCAGTGAATGAGCCCGTTCAAGGTTTGTCATTGTTTTGGAGCAATCAACTCCCCAACCATGAAGCGCGAACATTTCGTCAATCAAATTAACAAGGATCTTTGTGTTTTGTAATTTAATTTACTCGAAGGCCAATCAATAATTATTTGCATGGAACTTTTGTGACTTGATAGACGTAGTTGATTGATTGGTTTATTTCAATGTACTAAAGGTTTTATGGCTTATAACTGTGACTATGACTGTTAATGGTTCTTTTCTGTGCAACATCTTTGCATGATTTATCTGTTTCAGCTGTTGTAGCCCATGCCCCAGTGTACCATGCCCCTCTGGTCGCCCCAGCTCCAGTATATCATGCCCCAGTTGCCGCAGCTACCTCCTACTCCACCAGTAGTGTCAGCATCACTCATGCTGTACCAAAGGTCGCCATTGCTCATGCCCCATTGGCTGTAGCTCCGGCACCAGTCTATGCTGCTCATGCGCCCATCTACGCTGCTCATGCTCCGGTCTATGCTGCCCACGCACCAGCATACTACCACGCTCCTGCCTTTTACCACTAATGTGTACATTGAATAAATTGATTTCACTGGACATCTTGTTCGCATTTGTTAAACCTTCACTGTTGAGTTTGGTTAAGCAATTGGTAGTTTTGTTTATTTGGCTAAGCAAAAGTTAATAAGTGTACGAACGAAATAATACAATTGAGTTCGATTTTTAAAGCTTTGTGATCCATTTGTTTTCTTTTAACAAATTTATTGTGTTTTTTTGCTATGACTAACCACCATAGGTACATGGCACCCTTGGGTTGTTAGTTTATGATAGCACATATTGTAAAATTTACATTTAAATACCATAAAGACGTTTGGTTGATCATAATGCATTCGAGCATCGCCTATCGCATGACATGAAACACACACTGTAAAAATAAGCTCTAGATTTAATGAATGGACGAGAAATCTACTTGAATATGTCGTCCACGTTATTTTATACATGCTACTCTAGACACAATTTGGGGATGTATAATCAAAGACTGGACTCAATTCTGATTTACTTTCTTGAAAACTGCAAGCTATTTTTTTGATTCAAGAATTTTCTTAAATCTTGATTCAACTGTATATCTCACTGCATGGTAAACAAATCTTCATAGTCTATTCTTCTATCAAAATTTACAAACAGTGAAACACTACACTATCACTACTCTCTTGATTCTTGATTCGATTGTATATCTCACTACTTCATAAAAGACAAATCTTCATAGTCTATTCTTCTATCATTTCACTTCACAAACAAAAACGTAACAATTCACTTCTACTTCCTTGATTCTTGATTCAACTGTACCATCTGGTATCTGTATATCACTGCATGGTAAACAAATCTTCATAGTATATTCTTCTTTACTTTACAAAAACAATGTAACACTTCACCATCACTACTATCTTGATTCTTGATTCGACTGTATATCTCACTGCATGGTAGACAAATCTTGACACTTGATAGTCTATTCTTCTATCGTTTCACTTCACAAACAACATAACACCTCACTGTCACCACTCTTTGGATTTCTCATTCGACTGTATATCTTACATATTTATTTGTTTGTATTTCTGCATGGTAGAAAATCTTCATAGTCTATTCTTCTATTATTACACCTCACAAACAATGTAAACCATTACTGTCACAGGTCTGTTGATTCTTCATTCAACTGTATATTTCACTGCATGGTAGAAAATCTTCATAGTCTATTCTTCTATCATTACACCTGACAAACAATGTAAACCATTACTGTCACCATTCTCTTGATTCTTCATTCGACTGTATATCTCACTGCAATGGTAGACAATCTTCATAGTCTCTTCTTCTATCATTACACCTCACAAACAATGTAAACCATTACTGTCACCGATCCCTTGATTCTTCATTCAACTGTACATCTCACTGCAATGGTAGACAGTCTTCATAGTCTCTTCTTCTATCATTACACCTCACATACAATGTAAACCATTACTGTCACCGATCCCTTGATTCTTCATTCAACTGTACATCTCACTGCAATGGTAGACAATCTTCATAGTCTCTTCTTCTATCATTACACCTCACAAACAATGTAAACCATTACTGTCACCATTCTCTTGATTCTTCATTCGACTGTACATCTCACTGCAATGGTAGACAATCTTCATAGTCTCTTCTTCTATCATTACACCTCACAAACAATGTAAACCATTACTGTCACCATTCTCTTGATTCTTCATTCGACTGTATATCTCACTGCAATGGTAGACAATCTTCATAGTCTCTTCTTCTATCATTACACCTCACAAACAATGTAAACCATTACTGTCACCGATCCCTTGATTCTTCATTCAACTGTACATCTCACTGCAATGGTAGACAATCTTCATAGTCTCTTCTTCTATCATTACACCTCACATACAATGTAAACCATTACTGTCACCGATCCCTTGATTCTTCATTCAACTGTACATCTCACTGCAATGGTAGACAATCTTCATAGTCTCTTCTTCTATCATTACACCTCACATACAATGTAAACCATTACTGTCACCGATCCCTTGATTCTTCATTCAACTGTACATCTCACTGCAATGGTAGACAATCTTCATAGTCTCTTCTTCTATCATTACACCTCACAAACAATGTAAACCATTACTGTCACCGATCCCTTGATTCTTCATTCAACTGTACATCTCACTGCAATGGTAGACAATCTTCATAGTCTCTTCTTCTATCATTACACCTCACAAACAATGTAAACCATTACTGTCACCATTCTCTTGATTCTTCATTCGACTGTATATCTCACTGCAATGGTAGACAATCTTCATAGTCTCTTCTTCTATCATTACACCTCACAAACAATGTAAACCATTACTGTCACCGATCCCTTGATTCTTCATTCAACTGTACATCTCACTGCAATGGTAGACAATCTTCATAGTCTCTTCTTCTATCATTACACCTCACATACAATGTAAACCATTACTGTCACCGATCCCTTGATTCTTCATTCAACTGTACATCTCACTGCAATGGTAGACAATCTTCATAGTCTCTTCTTCTATCATTACACCTCACAAACAATGTAAACCATTACTGTCACCATTCTCTTGATTCTTCATTCGACTGTATATCTCACTGCAATGGTAGACAATCTTCATAGTCTCTTCTTCTATCATTACACCTCACATACAATGTAAACCATTACTGTCACCGATCCCTTGATTCTTCATTCAACTGTACATCTCACTGCAATGGTAGAAAATCTTCATAGTCTCTTCTTCTATCATTACACCTCACACAATGTAAACCATTACTGTCACCGATCCCTTGATTCTTCATTTGACTGTATATCTCACTGCATGGTAGATAATCTTCATAGTCTCTTATTCTATCATTTCACTTAACATACAATGTAACACTGCACTGTCACCACTCTCTTGATTCTTCATTTGACTGTATATCTCACTGCAATGGTAGACAATCTTCATAGTCTCTTCTTCTCAGGGCCGTCGCGTGGTTTTTTGGCGCCCGGGGCGGGATGTTGCCAGGCGCCCCCCCCCCAAAACACAGAATGAGTGATGATGTCGCTTTGTTTTAATCCCCAAAAACAGACACCTAAAGGGATTGAATCACCTTACAAAAATACCAGAGTCAGGAATCTGGGGTTGATTATTAGGGAGAAATTACTTAAATTTTGTATGAAAATCTTTTTAATTGATGATAACCAAATCCCAATTAATGTAAGAAAATGTTAAAATGTATAAAAAGTACTATACTGTATATGTTATTAATTAATACAGAGCAAATTGAAATTAATGCAATGAATGCAAAACCTCAAACCAAACCTACTCTGAATAGAATTTTTATACAGAATATAAGAAAACCACGTTATCACATTTAAATATGAGATCCTAAACATTAAGTGTAAATCACTCATGAAACTAAGCTGGCAGCTCAGCTGAGACTGCCGTTTTGCCGTAGGAGAAAGGAGTGATTGGGGTAGGGGTGGTTCCCAAGGTCGACCGTCAGCCGGTCGGGCGAATTAAAAATAGAATACGGCAGCTACGTGTACAGAGCAACACCGCGAACCGCAACATTGCAATATTAAGATAATAAAGACATTGCAATATAAAGATAATTAAGTTGGGACAGAGCCTTCAACTCCACAGTGGAGTTGATTGTTTAGGCTATTATTACTAAATTTAATTCAATACAATATTGATATTTAATTTGGAAAACATTGCAAATTATAAAGTGATTGGTATCAAATAATAGGCTATGTATTTTTCAATAAAGGCATAAAACGTAATATTCAACATTCAGATAAACACACGAATAATAGAACTAGTATTCGTGGTCATACATAACTTTCCAAAATACGTTATGTGCATCTAACTTTTTTTTATATATGTTGCATTACTTTTGCCGCGGCGCCCCCCTGACCGCGGCGCCCAGGGCGGTCGCCCTGGTCGCCCCACCCACGCGACGGCCCTGCTTCTTCTATCATTACACCTCACATACAATGTAAACCATTACTGTCACCGATCCCTTGATTCTTCATTTGACTGTATATCTCACTGCAATGGTAGATAATCTTCATAGTCTCTTATTCTATAATCATTTCACTTAACATACAATGTAACACTTCACTGTCACCACTGTCTTGATTCTTAATTCAACTGCATATCTTACTGCATGGTAGAAAAATTTTCACATTCCATTCTTCTATCACTTCACTTCACACACAATGTAACACTTTGACGAGTCTTATTGAGCTAGTTAGATTTGAGGCGATATCTCACTCTCCCTCCTAACCTACTCTACTTTAGTATGATTTAAAAAATTGATAATGAAACAAGTATAACACTTCCAGGACAATAAAGGATATCCCCAAGTTGTGTGTTTTTTTAAGTTTTTGTGATACTGTACAAAGTTTAAAAAATACTTATTATCCTTACCAGCTGAACACATGGCAAATTGGATTATCATGCTGCTGAAGGTCTCGAGTATTGTATTTTACGTAAAAACCCTTCCTAAAGGATATATATATATAATATAATAAAGTTATAATCGTTAATCGTTATTTTATATTTTTTTTTATTTAATTTGCACCAGAAGGGCACAACAACAAAACTGTTGAAGACACTGAAATAAAGAAAAACGGGAAAAGATAAATATCGCCACCTAACTATCTCAACCAAGTATGTTCAACAAATAATACTGGAATGGAGACACGTATATAACTGTATATAAAAAAAAAACTATTTAAATGGGTTGATGGACTACTTGAGAAATTGTATCACTATCACACTCACACACTTCCAAAGGGTTTCTATACTTTCGGTAGAAGCAGAACACTATTGTTGACAAAATGAAGATATAGTCCTTTTTGTATCCATCACAAAAACCATTACTAGCATGCTGCTTCAAAGTAGTTCTTCAAAAACTGTATAGAGCATATAGTCAAAGTAAGTAGCCTTATCCATTGCTACTTACGGTGGTAGCCAATCCATTTTGTTTACGCTTCCTCCCTAGTAATACTCGCACACTCCACTACAACACATTGAATC